CTGGAGTGCAATGGTGAGATCTCAGCTCACTGCAACCTCCGCCTCCTGGATTCAAGTGATTTCTCCTACCTCAGCCTTTTGAGTAGCTGGGTTTGCAGGCGCACACTACCATACCTGCCTAATTTTTTTTTTTTTAGTAGAGATAGGGGTTTCATCATGTTGGTCAGGTTGGTCTCGAACTCCTGACCTCATGATCTGCCTGCCTTGGCTTCCCAAAGTGCTGGGATTACAGGCATGAGCCACCATGCCCGGCTGCTTATGAGTCTTTAAAACCTCTCTGGTGTGTGGCAAAATATGTAAGCATTCTCAGTCCCACAAATGAGGAAACCGAGGCCATGTAAGTAAAGTGCTCAAATGCATCCACTGACTTAGGTGGAGCTAGAATTAACTGCAGGAAAGGGAAACCCAAAGCACAGTGACTTAATTAAGATAGAACTTTAATTTTTCTCTTACATAAAAGTCTGAAAGCAGGCAGCCTAGGGCTGGTATGATATTTCTTTCTTTTCTTTTCTTTCTTTCTTTTTTTTTTTTTAATTGAGATGGAGTCTTGCTTTTTTGCCAAGGCCGGAGTGTAGTGGCACAATCTCACAATCTCAGCTCACTACTTTTGCCCACCCCCACACCAAGTTCAAGCGAATCTCCTGCCTCAGCGTCCCAAGTAGCTGCGATTACAGGTGTGCACTACCACGCCTGGCTAATTTTTGTATTTTTAGTAGAGATGGGGTTTTGTCATTTTGGCCAGCCTGGTCTCAAACTCCTGACCTCAGGTTATCCACCTGCCTCAGCCTCCCAAAGTGCTAGGATTATAGGCATGAGCCACCACACCTGGCCCTGGAGTGATATTTCTATTCCACAACATTCCCAGGGACCAAGACTTCTTCCAACTCGCTGCTCTGCCACTTCTAGGGTGTGGCTCTTACCTCCTGGTCTAAGATGGCAGCCGTCTTGTACCTATTCCAGGCCACAGGATAGAGGGTGGAACAAAGGGACAAAGAGTGCACATCAGCTGTCTGACAGTTTCTGGAAGGTGCCATCTAAACCTTTGGCTTAAATGTCACTGGCCAGATCTTACTCACATGACCACGTCTCGGGAGGCTGAGAAATAGTGGTTATTTCAGGCAGCCACAGAGAACCCCACGCCTATGGAGAAAGGGAAAATGGGTATGATGGGACAATTAGCAATCTCTGCCACATGCAGCATGGGGCAGAACCAGGATAGGAGCCTAGGCCTCCTACCCTTTCCGCAGTCCACACCAGGAGCAAGGCCAAGGCTGACATCAACCCATCTGAGGAAACAGACAGGAGGAAGTAACATTTATTGAGCAACTCATCTAATTTTCCTAACAATACACCGACGTAGGCAGAGCCCTAGTTTTGCAGCTAAGGAGGCTCTGGAAGATTATGTTATTTGTCCAAAGCCACATGTCTAATAAGTGACAGACCCAGGATGAGGACCCAGCTGTATTTTCCTGCAACACGTGTTACCAGTTTATTGGCAGCCTCTGCGGTTCAAGAGGACCTAGCTTGTCCCTCGGGACCACCTAACCAGGTGACCTGAGATGAGGAACTGGGAGGTCGCAGGACTTGGCATCCTTCACTTGAATTATCAGGTCAGCCTCTGAGCCTGGGAGACCAACAGGAGACAGGGACCCTATGGAATCACAAGTCAGGTGAGTGACAGGTCTCCTCCAGCATTTATGCCTTGGTGATGGTGCCAGCTGTCACTCCAGGACTTTGGCATAATTGGCAGGTGCCGCCCCCACCCCACCTTGCCTCTGCCTGGTGGGGCTGGTGGTGCCTCACCGGTCACTCCAGCCCCCAGTTCTCCTGGCAGTACCACAGAGTCTTCGGAAGTAACATTTCTCTCTCCCACTCTCAGCCATGACACTGGTTCACTTCCCAACACGGAGCAACTGGTTCATCGTGTCTCTCCAGCCCCCCTGCACATACCCAGTCCCTGGTCACCCCCACCTGCCCTTCAGCCGCCTCCATCCCCATAAACCCTCCCCCACCCACGGCTGCATCTCTGAGCAATGGACCTCACCACCCGAGTCTGCCACAATGCAAGGTCACCAGCATTCCTGCCAAGGATGGGGAACGGGGTGAGTCAGTTCCCGCTTGCTCATCCCAGGAAAGGGAACGGTGGCGGGGGGGAGGAGGGGGGTGGGACCTAGATACTCATTTGCTTTTGCCTTAAGCTTCACCAAGAGGGAGACTCGGGCGTTGCTGCCAGTTGACCTAATGGGTAGTGCCCCTTATTAGCTTCACAGAGTGCTAGGAGATTCACCCCACTCAAAAAGGGGATGCTAAGAGTCAGACAGCGCCTTTGAGCAAAGCTGAAGGGCAGAGGCAGCCTCCAGGTGCTCTGATGCCTAGGAAGAGGCAAGCTGCCCCTCCCATCTATAGCACAGTTTGCCCTCAGGGAGACTCCGGTCTGAGGCAGGGGGCATAGCCTCTGCCCTCCAGGACCCCCAGTCTATAGGGCCATCCAGCCCTCAACATCAGGGAGTCCTCAGTCTGATGAGAGAGGCACAGCCCCTTGCCCTACGTGTTCCCCAGCCTGATAAAAGAGATCCAAGCTGTGTCCTTAAAGAGCCCCTAGCCTGGTAACCTTGTCCCAGACGCTCCACTGATAGAGACAAAGCCCCTAGTCCCCAGCCCCCAGCTGGGCTGAGGGGTTGGGGTGCAGGACCACGGGACTGCTAAATGGTCTGAAGGCGTTTCAGACTGCCTCGTAGGGCAGTGGATGGGGGAGGCCACAGGGTTAGGGTGTGAGTAGGACCTGGCCCTTTGCAGTCTGGGCAGAGTTGGAGACAGGTTTCTGCAGAGGGATCTCCTGTGAGCGTGTGCATGGCAAAGGTGGGAGGCCAGAGCACTTTGTTGTGACTGGGGTCGGGGGAGGGGGGGAAGGTCACGATGGGGACATGGCTCGCCAATGGGGTCGAGGCGATGTCTTCTTAGCCCAAGGAAGTTGGATGAACCCCTTGCCCTTGTGAGGACCAAGGGGGCACAGAAGAATCTGGCAAGAACAGTAGGGACCAGAGGGCTATTCCAAAGAATTCAGATTTGGGAGGAAATCTGTTAGCAAAGTCCTAGCTGAGGAGAGCAGCCAGGTGACGGGGGAAGGCGGGAAGGAGGGGTGAGGCAGCAGTGTGCATGAGGGCGAAATGAAGTTATTAAAATGAGCCCACCCCTGGTGCAGGCAGACTGTGTGCCAGGCAGGCCAGGCCCTCCAGCTGTCGGCAGCATCTGGCTCTCCACAGGCAGAGAGGAGCAGGAAGGGGGTCAAAGTGCCCCCAGGTGCCTGCTGAGAGTTCGGCCAGGGCAGGCGGGAGGGCACCCAGGGCCTCTGGCCCCTCTGCTCCCTCCTCCCTTCCTGCAGTCTCCACAGCGCTGTGGGAGGCTGAGCGGCATCTGATGGGCATCCACCGGTGGGAGAACACTCCAGAGCCAGCAGCCTCAAGTGTCCCCAGAGTGGGGAGCGGAGGGTGGTCTGGAGGGGAGATGGTCCCTGGAAGCATAGTGTGGGAGAAAGAAGCTGGGTCACTTCTTACAAGGTGGGCTGTAACCAAACAGCTTCTCAGCCCCGTCCAGCTCTGCGCTGCAGTGTGAGGGGAGCAGTCCTTGCTGAGCACTGCTGGACAGGGGTAAAAGTTGGGGGGTGGCAAGACCACCTTACCCCGGTGCCAGGACTCTCCTCTCCTCAAGAGGGCTTCAAGGGCCCTGAGTGCCGCCCTCCCAAGAGAGCCGACTTAGAATGACCTCCAGAGGGCACTGTGACCTTGGTCATGTCTTCCCTTCTCAGAGCCCCAGAGGGCACAACTAACTCCCAGACGAGGTGCCACTGGCAGCCAGCCATTCTGAGGTCTCTTTTTTTTTTTTTTTTTTTTTTTTTTTTTTTTTTTTGAGACAGAGTCTTGCTCTGTCACCAGGCTGGAGTGCAATGGCACAATCTCGACTTACTGCAACCTATGCCTCCTGGGTTCAAGCAATTCTTCTGCCTCAGTCTCCCCAGTAGCTGGGACTACAGGTGTGCATCACCACACCCGGCTAATTTTTGCATTTTTTTTTAGTAGAGACAGGATTTCACCATTGGTTGGCCAGGATGGTTTCGATCTCCTGACCTCGTGATTTGCCCACCTTGGCCTCCCAAAGTGCTGGGATTACAGGCGCGAGCCACGGAGCCCAGCCTCAGAGGCCTCTTATTAGCTGCACGAGGGAAATGGCTGAGGCAGGCCCTGTGTCCACGCACTCCAGCCTATTCCTTCACTGGCATGTGGTCAGATTGAAAACCCAGTACGATACCCTGGATTCTCTGAATGGCCCCTTCCCCAGGAGAAGAGATGGAAATTACAGCTGGGAAAGTGCATCCAAGGTGTTTCCCTGTCCTGTGGAGCCAGAGAGGAACTTCGAGGTCCTTTGAGTGGGTCTCCTAGCATGGGCCTAGACCAACAGCATCAGCATAGACCTGGGCACTCATTAGAAATTCTGATTCTTAGGCCCCACCCAGGCCTACTGAATTAGAAACGTGGGTAGGACCCAGAAATCTGCGATTACTCTCTGGGTGATCTGCCTTTGAGAACCCCTCATCTGGGCAAGCCCCTCATGTTAGAGAGGAGAATGAACAAGGCCAAAGCCGCACAGCAAAATGACGGGGCTAGGACCCCACTGGGTCTCCAGATGGTAGTTCAGGGAGGACACCAAGGAACACCCTTGTTGGCCCATTCTACCAGCTAGCTCTCCATCCCTGAGCTGTTTTTGCAGATGCCACGCCCCTCCCCTTCCCCACCATGCCCAGGGGGTTTGTTCAGGTTTCCCCATGTGGGATCCAAGAGCCTGGCTCAGGGGCTGGAGAGGGAAGCCCTGAGCCCTCAGCGACATCAGCTCCAAGGGTGGCTGGAGCCCTGCCACTCGGGTCTCCAGCACATGTCCCTCGGCCATCGGGGAAATTCTTGCTGGACCAAGGGATGCCCGAGGCCCTTTCCTTGGACAACTCTGACTGCAGAACCCCAGGGCAAGCTTTATTTCCTGCTCCAAGAACACGATTCTGCACACAAAAGTCAGCAATCCGTAGTTTCACAAGACTTCCCTCCCCTCCCCCCACACACAGACAGACACACAGAACAGATCCAGCACATGCTCTGCGGCCTGGCCCCGCCCCACCCGTACCCACAGCTGAGAGGGCGGTGCCATCCAGATCTGGGAGAACCCTGGTCTGACAGGTGAGGATAACTGTTGAGGGACCACTCTCCGGGACAGGGACGCTCACAGAGGAGCCAGCAGGGGGTGAGGTCCTGGAAGAGGGACACATCATGTGGACGGGCTGTGACCTTGGTGCGGGGAAGACCACAATCATCCTGTCTCGGCTTAAGGATGGATGTGCTATAGCAATGGGTGGTAGAGGGGCAGTGCTGGCAGGAGAGGAAATTTTGGAAAGGGGTGGCCTGGCTGGAGACAGATAGTCAATCTGTCAAGACATCAAAGACCCCAGGGTCACCACTTCAGCCTCATGCCTTGCTCAGCACAGGACAAGGGGCTCAGGGCTGCCCACTAGGCGGGGCTGGGGAGCTCCTCTGGCCCTACCCTACCCGGCTGACTCAGCCATCCATCCTAAGTTGACAAGCTGTCCACACTGATGAAATTCCCCCTCCCTGTCAGTGTCCTTCCTCAGGATGGCAAGAACCAAGGGCTTAGCTTCCTCCCATGACTTGATCTGGGGCCACACTGACTGGCCTGCCCGCGGACCTCCGGGCCCAGCATCTCTCTGTGGCTCCGTGGCAAGGCCCTGTGAAGCTACAGAGAGCCCGCTCCTCCAGTGCTCCTGTGATCTAGTCGCTCCACAGCCTCAGGTTGGGGCCAGCACTTGGGGCCCTTTCTCTGCCACTTGAGACTTGGCCCTGGCCCCACCTGGCATCTCCTCCTCTCCACCCCCCTCCCTGCCTGAGGCTCAACCCCTTCCCTGGCCGGTGTCCAGATGGTCTCCTGCATGGGCAGCCTGTCCTTCCAGCCCTGGCCTGGCCTGTGGCCTGCCCCGGGTCACCCAGACGGGTAGTAGGGGGTATCACTATGGTAGTTGTAATCTGGGCACACCTTCTGGACCAACCGATAGTCCGTGCTGTAGAAGGCAATGTAGACACAGACGACTTTGAAGGGCTGGGAGCAGCTCCAGGTGGCTGAGCTCTGAGCGTGGTCTCGGGAGCAGATCTTGGCTGGGTCGTGGGTGCAGAGCGAGGTCCGGCGGCCCCGTTCTACCTTCTCCCACTCCATCCGGCAGTTGAAAATTTTGGAGGCCTTGGCTTCGATGAAGATCTGCTGTTCCTGGTGGAACTCTACAGCTTTGCTGGGGGGCACAAGGCTGATGGAGATGTTGCCCTGGCCTGTGGCATTGTGGCGGAAGTGGACGCTGAAGGTCCCGTTGCCATGGTCCACAATCTTCCCTGTGACGAGCAGGTTCAGGGCCACCGTCTTGATGTTGGAGTAGAAGTCGCCCCAGCCAAAGATTTTCTTCACTTTGGCTGAGGGTGGCGGGCTGTGGTTTGGGCGATTGGGGGGCTGCCCAAGAATGCCCCAAGCCTCCCCAGGTGGGGCCAGCAGCCCTAGGAGAGTGGAATTGGCCATGGGTCGGGACTTAGGTGAGATGTGGCCCCGCTTCCGAGGCACCCGGGGCCGGGGCTGGCCCTCGTGGTCATCACGCTCAGGGTCCTCTGAGCCGGGAGGACCGTCATCCTGGCCACAGATGACCTACGGAGGGAGTCGTGAGTATAGTGAGAGCCCTGTCCCTGGAGGTCCAACCCCCGCCCCACCAGCAGCACCTGTCTCCCTGCCACTGCACTCTGACCTGGGTGAGGGGCTCCTGCGTGTTGTTCACTGAAACTGGGGAGCAAGTGTACACTCTAGGTTATATACACGTCGGGTCCTGAGAGTCAGGTCACCCCTCATGTCCTTTCCTCACTGTCCTGTCTGGGCCATGATTCAAAGTCTCAAGGATGGACAATAATTCTCTCCAGTGGACTGTGGCACCAGGGACAATGGCTCCCAGCCCTAGGGAGTCCCCAGACTGATGGGGGAAGCCCAGTTTCTGATCCCGGGGAGCCCCCATCTAATGGCAGAATTATCCCTGTGCTGACAGTGCTCCCGATCTGATAGGAGGTGGAATCCCTGCCTCTGTGAAATCCCCAGGCTGATGGGGGAGGCATAATCTCCATCCTCAAAGAGCCCAGAGTCAGATAGGGGAGCACCATCCCAATCCTGGGAGAGCCCCTGCTTTGAAAGGAGAGGCTAACCTCTGCCCTTTGGGACTTCCTAGTCAGTTGGATAAGACGCCGTCCCTACCCTAGGATAATTTCTACCCTTAGATGCAAAGAGAACCACCAGACAATGGAATAAGAAAGCAGAACACAGTGAAATTCTCAAGCATGAATACAGTTTTTAGGGTGGGCAAGAGGACTAGGGGAGACTGGGAGTGAACGCCACACCCACGACGGCCATGGAAAGCCAAACACCTCTCCAGGGGACACTGATGATGCCAAGATGTTACTTGCATTCTGAGGTAGATCTCATTCCCATTTCACAGATAAGGACACCGGGCTCAGAGGTCACAACGCTACAAGACTGAGTTCACATAGGGTCATCCCTTCTGTTACACTCCACACTCCCGGCCTCACAGATCCGATGTGTCTTTTTGAAAGGGTTTTATCCAGACGCCATCCGCCGCTGGAATCTGCAGGGGCTCATTCTCCCCCTGCTGGATCAGCTATGGTGACAAGCCACACCTGGGGAGATTCCTGGAGGCGCCACAGGGAGAGTGGGACAGCAGTGGGGGGCATCAGGGGGTTGGCAGAGCTTCCTGAGGGCACAGTCTGTGTGTCTGCTTAGCTCTTGAAAGCGACCACTCGCCCTCGGTGTCTTTACCACGAGCACCGGAGGGCACCGGCTCAGCTGGGCAGCATCTGGATTCGGTGGTGACACTGGAGTGGGGACAATACGGTTCCAAGGGGCTGTGGGGTCTTCGTGCCCGTGTTCTGGCCTGGGTGGTGCCAGCCGCTGTGTACAGTGGCCGAATAATCTGTCTCTGCCCCACAGTTCAGGCTGGCCCTGTCTGCCAGGCCCTGGGGGTGAGGTAGAGGGACGGCTAGGAGGGGAGGTTTGGGGACTGGGTCAGGGCTGCAGACCTGTAGGTACTGGCTCCTGGGGGTCACGGCTGCCTGGCTGGAGGGTAAAGGGCCACAGGTGGGGCCGTGAGAACGGAAAGGCTCTTCCCACAGTAGCATCGGGGCGGTGGCAAGGGGCTTGTTTATTAAAGGGGCAGGTCCAGACGCGGGGCTGAGGCTTCTCCATGACAGGATTGCGGGGAGGGTTGGCGGACGCTCGGTCGGAGGGGAGTTTAGCCCGGGGCTGGGTTCCTGGAGGGGTTCCCCGGCGCCCCGGGCCGCCGAGAAGCCGCGGAGCTGGTGCACCGGGAGCGGGCTCTGGGCGCTCCGCTCAGCTGCCGCGAGCGCCCGGGGCGGGAGCCGCCTGCCCAGGTCCTGTGGGGCTCGGGCTGCGCGCAGCCGGGAGAGGAGAGGAAAACAACAGGCGGGGAGGGAGGGAGCGGGAGGGAGGCCGGGAGGGAGGGACGCGGGGGCCGCCCCCCGCCTGGACCGGCTCGGCGCTCTGGGGGACCCAGAGCCCGGGGCTCTCCGGATCCCGGAGGTCACGGGAAAAGCCTGCAGGTCACCAGCTCCACGGCCCGGCCCCACTAGGCCCCCTTCCGAGGTCCTGGGGTTCCTGGAAGGGGTCGGGTAACCCCGGCGACCCGGCTCCGGGCCTTTTTCCGAGCGCTGGTCGCACCTCCAGCCACCCGCCAAGGAGTGGGTGGGCCAGACAAGCACCCTCTCCCCGCCCCTATTAACCCTATCTGTCCAGTCTCCGGCCTCGGACCCGCCCTCTCCCCCAGCCTCCAGTCTTCCCCGCTATCCCCGGGATGTCGGGGGAAGGGAGAAAGTTTCAGGGCTCGCAAGCTTCCCGCGCTCTCCCCCGATCCTCCGGGCCCCCGCCCCTCCGCGCAGCTCCCCGCGGACCACTCACCAGATAGAGGCTGCCCTGCACCAGGAACACGAAGCAGCAGCGAGTCAGTTGCATCCTCCTCCTCCGCTCTCGTCCTCTCGCTCTCCGCTTCTCCTTTCGGGGTCCCAGGCCTCTTCGTCCCCTTCCTGCTCCTTCAGGAGCGCCGTCCCATGCTCCAGTCCCCGGCGGCCCGCGGCCCTCCCCTCAGCCGGTCGCCCAGGGCCGACCCCGCCCCCTTCGGTCCAGCTGTGCTGCCGCCGCCCCCCTCCCCTGGTCCAGCTGCTCGCGGCGCGGCCCCCACTCGAGGTCCCAGATGTGCGTCCCGAGCGCCTCGAAGGGCCCCGGCTGCGCCGTGGCTCCGCGGCTCCAGACCTGCGCTCGGCGCCCCCCTCGGCTCCAGCGGCGCCGCTCTCGCCCAGATGTGCTGGGGACCTGCGCGCGCGCCCGTCCTTGGTGCTAATTCCCCAGACCAGGCTGCTTCTCCCGCCCCGTCGCGGCGCGCCCCCTGGCGGACGCCCCCGGCCGCGCGGAGCCCCGGCCGCCCGCTCCCCGCGCTGTGCCCCGCCAGACTGGAGCGCTCCTGGCGCCCAGGCGGCTCCCGCTTCCTCGTCCCTCCCACCGGCGGCGGCGGCGGCGGCGGCGGCAGGTACAGTGAGCCCAGCCGGTACCTCCGGAGTTAACTCCTCCCCTGCCAGCCCGCAGCCCGGCGACCTAGGACGCCGGCTCTCCAGCCCACAGGGGACCGCACGCGGGGGCAGAGTAACTCTTGGAGGAGAAGGGAGAGGGTGGTGGCCAGGGGATACGGACCCTACCGTTTCCACGCCTCTGGCAGAGCGCCTGTTCCCCAGGAGGGGCATCGAGAATCTGCTGCCCTGCCCCCAACCCAGGAGTCCTGGAATTCAAAAAGATGTTTTGTTTTTTTTCCCCCAAAACCCATTCTAAGAGCCAAAACCTGTGGTGAGGGAAGTTCTTCTGGGTGTCTAGCCTGCACTCCTTTTATTATGATGTCTGTTCCTTCCCTCTTCTACTTTACTTGGAGGGGCTGAGATAATCCTTGGACCGTCTTGGGGCAGTCACTGTGACGGGAAGCATTCGGCTGGGCCCTGGGCTGAAAAGGCTGACAGGGGCCAGCTGGATTCTGGGTTCCGGGGCAGGTCCTGAGAAGCTGGGGAGTGAGGTGGGCAAGGCTGCCCTGGCGCTGTGCCTTCATTCTTCACGGCTTACCCTCTCTACCACAGGGCCACCAGGCTGAGAGGGGCTCCTGTCCCAGTGGGGTCTCTGCAAACCTCCAGGGCAAGAAGGAAGAACACGACCCTGATCTGACGTTCCCAGAGATGGGGGCCTATCCTCCATCACCCCTACTCTGTATCTTCAGGTCTCCTTCCTGGAATTTCAGGGTCTCTTTAGTCTTTAGAAAAATGAAAGGTCAAGTCCCGGCACCCCTTGGAGGCTATGAAGGTGAGGAGGCACCCATCATTCAGAGTGGTCCCAGCTTGGCCTGGGCCCAAGGAGCACGGTGGGTGGGCGCTCTGCTCTGTGGCCCTCCGAGGCCCAGCTTGGTCCCGTGGCTGCAACCCCGGCACGCACCCAGCCTCCTCCCCCACCATCTGCCAGGCGGGTGCGCGGGGAATGCAGATGAATCTTAATATCAGCCTGGGCCAAGTGCGATGAGGGAGACAGATTCTGCAAAACCCAGACAGCGTCACAGAGCCCCCTGCATTTCCAGGCACCCTGGGCTATACCAAGATGCAACAGCTCTTTCCTGGCGGTGGGGGAGAGGGGGTTGTACATGTCTAGTCAAAGACCCCCCAAAGCCAGGGGAGGAAGGAACAGGCAAATCTTTGTTTGGCCTCTGAGCCTCTGGTCCGGCTGGGAGGGAGAAGCTGTTGGCCTGAGTGTGGGCAGCTGGTTCCGGCGCTCAGCTAGGCAGGGGGCGTAGCTGGGCCCACTCCTTGTCTGGTTTCCAGAAGGTCCTGTCCCTAGGAGAGCTATGTGGCCCAGCAGAAAGAGCACAGGTTTTCAGGCCAGACAGTCCCAGATTTTGTTCCAGACCTGGCTGTGTGACCTTGGGCAGGTTACTTTGGTTCTCTGATGTCCGTTTCCTGATCTGTTCTTGCAAGAACCAAATGAGACAAAATGTGCAAACAAAGCGCAGGCACGGTGGCTGGCGGGCGGCCGTAGGAGTGCAATAAACGGAAGTTCTCGGTTCTCCACTTCCCACACGTTTGCTCTGCCTGCTCCTCCTGCCAGGCTTGCCCTCACTCCCCTCTTGGTCATTTCTGCCTCTCACTTTGTTTGAGTTTCCCCCCACATTTATCCATCCCCCCTGCCCGAGCCTGTCCTTTGTGCCAGGCGCCAGGCCAGGGGTTGAGATAGAGATGAATGGGACACCGTCCCTGCCCTCAAGGATCTCATCGGCAAGTGTGGAACAGAGACATGAAAATCAATAATTATAACTCAGGGTGGTGAGTGGAATAACAGATCCTTGAACAAGGAAGGCATTACAGATGCGCTGAGGAAGCAGGGGGACAGGGGCTTGAGGGTCAGAGATGGCTTCCTGGAGGAGGTGAGACTGTGGGTGTGAAGAAGAGCCTGCCTGGCAAGGGCTAGTCCTGGCAGAGGGCACTGAATGACTAAAGGTCTGGAGGCTGGAACTGGAAGCAGTCTGCTGCTCCCGGAGCACAGAGCGGGAGGAGGGGAGGCTGGGACCAGCTGATGGAGGGTCAAGGGTTTGGGACCTTTGTTTATGAGGAATCTTTGAAGGGTTTTAAGGGGGCTGTGATTATAGTTAGATTTGCATTTTAAAAGCTTTTGGAGAATTCTCTGGACCAGAAGGAGGGAGAGGAGAGGAAATCATCAGGAGACGAATGCAGTGGTTTGTGGGGGGGGTGGCAGGGAGAATGAAGGCATCTTTAGGAGACAAAATGATCAGGATTTGGTTGTTGCTGAGGTGAGGCAGGAAGGGAGAGAGGGAGTCAGGTGTGATACCCAGTTCCCCGGCTTGAGCAACAGGCTGGATAGTTGACAAGGTAGGAACCATAGGTGGGAGGAGGATGGGGTCTGGGGTAAGGGTGGGAAGGTCAGCTTTGGCCATGTCAAGTCTGGGTACTGTTGGCGACCCAAGGGCAGGAGAAAGTCTAGTTTGGGGTGCTGGAGGTATGGACGGTGCCAGAGGAGCACTGGGCACCCTGGCATTTAAGGTAAGGTGGTCAGAGGAAAAGAACCCCCAAAGGATCCTAGGGAGGAACAGGCAGCCAGGGGCTAGGAGAACAGGTGGGGCTGATCCTGAAACCGCAGGAGAATTGGGGTTCTCATGCTCAGGGGCCAAGCAGAGTGGACGCAGTGCAGAGTGTGCACCGCGCAGATTCCGGGGTCCCATCCCAGGGAGCCTGAGTTGGCAGACAGGAGCCCAGGACTACATCTTTCATAAGCGCCTGCCCCCACCCAGGGGATGCTGATGAAGGTGGCCTCTGGACCTGGGTGTGGGGAGTGTCAGGAAGGAGGGAATGAGCCACAGCAGAGAGACCTGGCAAGGGAGAGACAGAAACGTGACCACTGGGTTTGCAGAGGTTTGACAATTGTCCCCAACCTTGGGTCGTCCAGCCACTCCCAGAGTGGGAAGGCAGACCCCAGACACAGTAAACTCTTGGGTACCAAGCACACTAACAGCTGTGCTGTGCTGACGTGTCTGCTGTTCAGGCGCACTCTCCGTGTGCTCACAGCAGGTGCTCAGAGAAGTGGGCAGAACCAAGTGCTCTAGGTCCACCCCTCTGCCTCCAGCCTCGTCTGTGCCCATTTGCACCCTGGCCGGGCATTTGCTGAGCACCTCTGATGCTTTCACCTGCTTCCCTCTGACCCTTGGAGAATCCTGTCTACACTGCTTCCCTCCTCCCTCCCTCCCCAGCGCTGTCACAAGGAAAACAACGAAACCCAGTGGGCACCTGAGCAGTGCCGCGCGAATGAATGGAAAATGGGGCTCCTAATGGTTTGAAAGGCAGAGAGAGTGATGCCCTTGAGCCAGCTGCAGCGGAGAGGTCTGGGGGAGAGGCGAGAGTAGATTATTATTGTTGATATCTTTTATGTTTAGCTGGTAATTAGCAATTTTAAAGTGTTGGGATAGAGTGCTATGTACAGGGTACCAAGGCTGCCCAGAGGGAAACCCTAATTCAAGTGAGGGGGCCATGGACAGATTGCAGAGAGATTAATCTTAAATGACGTGTGGATCTGCCCAGGTGGGAGGGAATGCAAAGAACCTTCCAGGCAGAGGAAGCAACTCTTGCAAAGGCCAGAGATGAAAGCAAGCCTGGGAATGGGGTTCTGATGAGGACGAGATGAAAGATTCATTTGTTCCACAAATACTTACCAAGTGTCTACTTTTATGTCCGGTCCTGGGCTGGTGTGGCGGTACAGTGTGAACAGGGCAGACTGCAGTCCTATTTGCATGGAGAATTTGGGCTATGGGAGAGGCAGACATTAAATAACGAAGCACATGAAAACATAAGCTCTGACATGTGTTGGCAAGAGGTATGGGGGAAGAACAGCAGACTCTGAGCAGGAGAGAAATCAAGGAGGGATCCTCATTTACCTGGGAGGGGTCAGGGAATGCCTCTGCAAGAATGTGACCTTTCAGCTGGGATCTAAAGGCTGAAGAGCTGGATAGAGGAGCTGCACCTGCTGAGACCTAGGAAGAGCTAGGAAGAGCTTTGGAGGAGCTGCAAGGAGCTGAGCTTAGTGAAGTGTGGGGGGGGTGGGGGGGGTGGGGAACACCGCCAGAGACGTGGTGGGGGCCAGAACATGCAGGGCCTTATGGGTCTAGCTAAGGGATTGGGGTTTCATCCTGTGGTTAAGATGTCTTTGTATCTGTTTTGATTATGAGGTTTAAACAGAGATCAGATTTGCATTTGAGGAATATCTCTGGAAAGACCATTCTGGCAGCGGTGAGGAGGGGGATCTGAGAGGGTGGGTGAAACTGGAAGCCGGGAGGTGACGGTGGCCCGAATCAGAGCAGGGGCATCAGGATGGGAAGGAGGGATGACCTTGAAAGATGTCTAAGGGGTGGAACGGAGAGGAGGCCGACTCTAGGACATGAGGGTGAAAAGTCAAAGAGGACCCCCGGCCCCCGCGTCTGGCTTAAGGAGCACCGGTGTGCTGGCCTGCAAGGGGTTTGAGGGTGCTCAGGGGAATAGCGGGGTGCACAGTGGAGTTCGGACTAGAAGGACAAATCTGGGAGGTGCGTGAGCCTGGAGAGCCATCTGAGGTGAGTGTCAGGAGCTCGCAGAGAGCAGAGACCGGGGAAGCCAGCAGCCTAGAGGAAGGGATGAGGGAAGATGGGGAGGGCCGGAGCAGTGGGCGAGGAAGCCAGGGGAGCACAGGAACCTCCAGCTCCATAGGCCCCGAGGGGCATTGCCACTGACACCCCAAACCGCGCAGTCCTTTGGCCCAAGAGCTTAAGATGTCTGTCCCCCTGCCTCTCACAGGACCTCACCCGCCAGAAGGGACCTTCTCCTGGCTGTGAGCGCTCCTGCCTGTGCTCCCGTAGAGTGGAGAGGGCGTGGCAGCTGGCGTCCAGAGGCCTGGATGGGGTCCTTGC